TTTTTTTTTTTTTTTTTTTTTTTTTTTTTTTTTTTTTTTTTTTTTGATGTATAGGTGACATTAGTTTCAGGGGTACAACATAGTGATTCAACAATTATATACAAAATGTTCACTATGGTAAGCTTAGTTATCATCTGTTACTATACAGTGTTATTATAATATTACTATGTTCTCTATGCTGTACTTTTCATTCTCATGACTTAAATATTTATTTTGAGAGAGATCATGAGCAGGGGAAGGGCAGAGGGAGAGAGAGAATCCCAAGTAGGCTCCACGCTGTCAGCACAGAGGCCAGTGCGGGGTTCGAACCCACAAAATGTGAGATTTTGACTTGAGCTGAAACCAAGAGTCAGTCGTTTAATCAACGGAGCCACTCAGGTTCCACTGACTTATTTAATAAGTTTGGAAGTTTGTACCTCGTTAATCCCTTTATTTTGTCTGTCCTTTCATCTCCTTCCCCTCCAACAACCACTGGTTTGTTGTCTGTGAGTCTGTTTTTGTTCTTGTTTCTTTGTTCATTTGTTTTTGACTCCACATATAAGTGAAAGCATAGGTTATTTGTCTTTCTCTGTCTGACTTACCTCACTTAGCATACATAACCTTTAGGTCCACTGATGTTGCCAGTGGCAAGATTTCATTCTTTTGGTTGAGTAATATTCCATTGTATATATGTACACTGCATCCTTATCCATTCGCCTATCAGTAGACACCTAAGTTGCTTCCATATCTTGGGTACTATAAGTAAAGCTGCTATAAACATAGGGGTGCATATCTTTTCAAATTCGTGGTTTTGGGGGTTTTTTGGTAAATACCTAGAAATGGAAATACTAGATAATATGGTAGTTGTATTTTTAGTTTTTTTTTTGAGGAATCTCCATACTCTTTTTCATAGTGGCAGTACATTTACATTCCCACCAGTTCATAAGGGTTCCCTTTCTCCAACACTTATCTCGGCTTTTTTTTGGTACTAGCCATTCTGACATACGTGAGGTGATATAATTGTGGTTTTGATTTTCATTTCCCTGATAACTAATGATGTTGAGCATTTTTTCATGTGTCTGTTGGCCATCTTTATGTCTTCTTTGAAAAAAATGTCCATTCAGGTCCTCTGCACCTGAATAATAATTGGATTATTTGGGGGTTTTGGTGTTGAATTGTAGTTCTTCATGTATTTTGGATATTAACTTTTTACCATATATGCAACTAGCAAGTATCTTCTCCCATTTGGTAGGTTGCTTTTTTGTTTTGTTGCTTTCCCTCACTGTGCATAAGCTTTTTAAGTTTGATGTAGTCCCAGCTGTTTATTTTTGCTTTTGTTTCCCTTGCCTGGGAGATATATCCAGGGAAACGCTAAGGTTCATGTCCAAGAGATTCCAGCCTATGTTTTCTTTTAGGAGTTTTGTGGTTTCAGGTCTCTTATGTTTAGGTTTTTAATCCATTTTGAGTTTAATTTTGTCTATGATAAGGAAGTGGTCCTGTTCTCCCAGCACCATTTATTGAAGAGACTGTCTTTTCTCCATTATGTACTCTGGTCTCTTTTGTCATGGAATAATTAACCATATAAGCATGGGTCTTTTTCTGAGCTCTCAATTCTGTTCTGTTGATCTCTGTATCAGTTTTTGTGCCTGTACCGTACTGTTTGGTTATTACAGCTTTGTAGTATAGTTTGAAATCTTAGATTGTGATATCTCCAGCTTTGTTCTTTCTCAAGATTGCTTTGGCTATTCAGGGTCTTATGAGGTTCCATACAAATTTTAAGATTTTTTGTTCTAGTTCTGTGAAACATGTTATTGGTATTATTTTAGGGATTGCATTGTATGGCCATTTTAACAATATTAAGTCTTCCAATCCATGAGCATGGAATATCTTTCCATTTGTTTATATCATCCTCAGTTTCTTTCATCAATGTCTTTTTTTTAACCTTTTTAAAAATATATATTTTGAGAGAGAGTGAGCAGGGGAAGGGCAGAGACAGCGGGAAGGAGAGGATCCCAAGCAGGTTCCACTCTGTCAGTGCAGAGCCTGACATGGGGCTCAAACTCTTGAACTGTGAGATCATGACCTGAGCCAAAATCAAGAGTCAGACACTTACCTGACTGAGCCACCTAGGCACTCCACCTTTATTATTTTTTAAAAATAAGCTCTATACCCAATGTGGTACTTAAAGTCATGACCCTAAGACCAAGAGTCACATGCTCTTGATCTTGAGCCAGCCAGGTGCCCCTCATCAATAGCTTACAGTTTTCAGAGTACAAGCTTTTCACCTTCTTGGTTAAATTTATTCGTAAGTATTTTATTGTTTTCTTTCTTTAAAGTTTATTTTTATTTATTGTGAGAGAAAGATAGCAATCAGGGGGAAGGGCAGAGAGGGAGAGGGAGACACATCACAGAGCCTGATGGAGGGTTCAAATTCACAAACCAAGAAATCATGACCTGAGCCGAAATCAAGAGTTGGACACTTAACTGAGCCACCCAGGCACCCCCTAAGTTTTTTCTTTAAGTACACTGAATGTGGGACTTAAATTCACAACCCTGAGATCAAGAGTCATATGCTCTTCCAACTGAGCCAGCCACCCTGGTATTTTATTCTTCTGATGCAATTTTTATTACCACTTCCATGTTTATGTATATATCATATTCTGCCTCTTTTTGTGTATCCCTTGACTAATTTTTATAGCTATAAGCGATTGATCTACTAACTTAACTATATATTTGCTTGTATTGTGAAATTTTCTCCTCTCAGTTTTCTTCTGGTTGTGGCCTTCTCTTTCCGTTTATAGAATTTCTGTTAACATTTCTTGTAAAGCTAGTTTAGTAGTGATGAACTCTAACTTTTGTCTCTACTTCAATTCTGAGTGATAATTTTGCTGAATAGAGTAGTCTTGGTTGCAGGGGGTTTTGTTGTTCTGTTGTTTTTTTTCTTTCAGCACTTTATGCCACTCCCTTCTGGCCTGTAGAGTTTCTGCTGAAAATGAGCTGATAGCCTTATGGGGTTTCCCATGTATGTAAGTTTGCTTTTCTATTGCTTTTAGGATTCGCTTTTTAATTTTTGTCATTTTAATTATATGTCTTGGTGTGTATTATATACATATAATTATACATAATTATATGTATTGCCATTTTAATTATATGTCCTTGGGTTCACTGTAAGGCTCTCTTTGCTTTTTGCACCTGGATGTCTGTTTCCTTCCCCAGGTTAAGGTAGTTTTCAGTTGTTATTTCTTCAAATAAGTTTTCTGTCCCCCTTCTCTCATCTCCTTCTGTAACCCCCTATAATGCAAATGTTCATACACGGATAGATCACAGAGAGGTCCCTTAACTTATTCTCATGTATTACTTTTTCTTTTTGCTGTTCAGCTTTGGTGTTTTCCATTATCCTGTCTTCCAGATCACTGATCAGATCTGTATCCTCTACTCCACTGATTTCCTGTAGCCCATTTTTTTATTTTAGTTATTGTCTATCTCCGACTAGTTTTTAAATTTTATATCTCAGTGTTGAAGTTCTCCCTGAGTTCATCCATTCTTCTCTCAAGTCTGGTGTCTTTATGGCCATTACCTTGAACTCCTTATCAGGCATATTGCTTACCTGTTTCATTAGCTCTTATTTTGTGGTTTTGCCTTCTTTCATTTGAGACCTATTCCTGTCTCCTCATCTTGTCTGTTTCTGTGAATTAATTAGGTCAGCTCCTTCTCTTAGGTCTAGAAAGTAGTGTCCTTGTGTAGAAAGGGTCCTATGGTTCCCTGTAGCACAGTCCTCCCTGGGCACCAGAACCTGTTGTGGTTGATATGTGACTAATGCCGGCATGCTGGTTGGTGATGCTAGCCCTCTACGCAGCTGACTACAGTGATTATCCTCTAGTGTTGAGGATACACTGGTGGGCAGCGCTTATCCCCTGCACGACTAATAAGCCCTGCTTCAGCCTCTGCAGTGTGGACAGCCTATCTGCAGTGATCTGCTTTGCTTGCTGTGGGCTTACTGGTGGTTCGGGCTTGCTTCCTATGTGGCTGGCTCTGAGACCTGGTTGTAGCAGCTGTGGGTTTGCTGGTAGGCAGGGCTAGCCTGTAGCCCAGCTGTCTATAGTGAGCCTCTGTGACTGCTGCAGACACATCGACGGGTAGGGCTTTCTCAAACCTCTATAGCTAGCTGAGAAGTGCAGCTACAGCAACTGCAGGCGCACTGGTGTGTGGGGTTAGCTCCCTCCTCTCCAGAGCAAGAGTTGCTTTGGAGGGGTGCCTGCTGGCATGGGCAGTTTGGAGAGGGCAGGGCACACCATGCTAGGAAGGTAGGTTGAGAATGTCAGAACTGGCTTCCATAAGTGTTCGCCTGTCTAAGCTGGGAGGGGGCAGGGAAACTGGCAGCCACCAGCACTTTCCTTCCTGGAGAAAGCTACTAGATTTCCTGTCGATTCCTGCCCCTCCTGTATACATCCTCAAATGAGGCAACAAATCTCCCTCACATACACCCCAGGCACTTTTCAAACTGCTTTTTAGTTATTTAGTGTATTGGTTTTTAGAGGGTGGAGCCTTGGTTTCCTATAGCCTTCCAGCTCTCCTGGAGTTAAGCCCCACTGATGTTCAAAACCAGACAGTATGGAGACTGGTCTTCCCAGTGCAAGTCCCCAGGGCCATTGGTGCCCAGTGTGGGTCGCTTCTCCTTGCCTGTGATGTCCTTCCCCTTTGTGGCTAGTCACTCCAGGGGTTTAGCTGTGGAAGATCTGTTCTGCCAGGCTTCAGGTTGTTTGCAGAGTGGAGCAGTTGCCTTGATATATCCGTGGGATGAGGTGAATTCAGGGTTCTCCTGCTCTATCATCTTTGCTCTCCTGTAAAATTTCTTCTAAAAAATTATATTACTCAGTTTTTCCACAGTGGACAGTTAAAGTTTAATATATCTTTTACACATTTCAAGAAGTAGCTTGTTCTAATTTATGAACGAAAACTGTAGTAGGCCATAAAATATTAACATAAGGCAAATATGTGAAAATTATTTTAGAGTTTGTTTTTTATAGATCTGGACCTACTGGTACAAGAATAGAACCTGCATTAGATGACTGACTGCAAGCTTCTCCATAAGTTGGCCTCCAGTAATAATGCTTTTTAAGGCCATTGGAGACTTCTGCAAGATACACATGTCCATCCACCACAAATGGCTCCACATCTGTATTGTCTGGTTTTAGACGGCCTGTTTGAATTAAGTCTGAATATGCCTGTGATTTTTAAAAAAAGAACAAACTATCATTAATAAAATAGGTTGTTCATTTATCGTAATTAAATTTCTATATTCAAATTAGCTGAACTGATTTTCAGTTTAAAATATTTTGAGTAAATTACTGAATTTTATTATTTTCCACATATAGATTTTTGTTCACTTAATTTCACAATGAAATTAGAATCTTGCAAAATTTATTTCTAAGCTTTAAGGTATTTTTTGTCATTTTATGACTTCCAGAATTAACAATTCTCACTGTTACTGATTTTGTGGGCCAAAAGGTCCCATGGTCAAAATTCCTACAGGGGATCATAAATGAGGGACATAAGGAGTTGTATATGCCCTTGAAAATTTGATGACCAGGGACCCGTTTCTCAGAAAAATAATCAGATTTTGGCATCCAACTCTCTGGAGTTCATAAACTCCCTGAAGCTCATTTATAGTCTGAGGCTAAGAGACCATTTCCATATTATTAGATGGTGGCCTGGCTGGTAGCCCCATTCTTTTTTCATTGTAGAATTTTCTTTGTTTATCTCATGCATCATTGGTACGTATGTAAGATCACACAAACATGTTAAGCTGGCTTGTCAGTAAGATTGTGTACAGAGATAGGCAGAAATGTAGACAGTGAAAGAAAACTTCAGTTGCTTTCTGCTTTATTCCAAGCTCACCTTAGTTTCTAGTGTGTAGAATATGTTTTTCTAAAATCAAGATTTAAATAGTATGTCTTATTACTCATTTTGGTGGTAGTTTTGGATAGCCTTTTTGCAAATTGAGATTTTTAGCATCTTCTTTCCAAATCAAAACTATTTGTTACTATGCTTTTTGTTTTGAAAGTAGTATCAAGGGCTGTATTTGCATAAGCAACTGTAGGTCTCCAAAACCATGTCTTGGTTTAATTATTGGGCAGCAGATTAGAGACTGTGCTGCATCAAATTTAGAATAAATCAACAATTGTGATTTTTAAAATGTTTTAACTTTGGAGGAGTTGGGACTGTGTCATTCGTTGATTTTTATATTAATATGTAGTATCTGAGATATTTTGCTATTTCAACCACAGAACTTTGCAGTCATTTTTAGGGTTTATTTTTAAATGTATCAGAACTGCAGTGTCTTACTATATTTTGTAATCATTCTTTTAATATTTATTTTTGAGAGACCAAGCAAGTGAGCAGGGGAAGGAGAGAGGGAGAGAGGGAGAGAGAGAATCCCAAGCAGGCTCCACTCTGGCAGTGCAGAGCCTGACACAGGGCTCCAACTCAACAAACTGAGATCATGACCTGAGCTGAAATCAAGAGTCAGACGCTTAACCCACTGAGCCACCCAGGTGCCCCAATATGTTACAATCATTTCTAAGGCCACCTGTAAATGTCTGTTATAGAGAAGACCCCAGAAAAAGCCTTCAGTGAAGAAGAAGAAAGAAAACAAAACAAAACATACCACACATGTAGCTTCATCAAATTTGTTTCCCCAAATGTAGACATTAGAGAGTATGTGGTTTGTTTTCATGGACTGTGAAAGTGCAACAAGTCCTTCTCCCTTTATGTTGTTGTTGACTACTGACAACCTAGGGAGAAACAAGAAGTAATAACCCTGGAAACCAGTAAATACTTTCACAAAGAAGATGCATAAGTTAGCCAACAACATTTATTACATTTCTTTCTAAGTTTTTTTTTTTTTTTTTTAATTTTTTTTTCAACGTTTATTTATTTTTTTTGGGACAGAGAGAGACAGAGCATGAACGGGGGAGGGGCAGAGAGAGAGGGAGACACAGAATCGGAAACAGGCTCCAGGCTCTGAGCCATCAGCCCAAAGCCTGACGCGGGGCTCGAACTCCCAGACCGCGAGATCGTGACCTGGTTGAAGTCAGACGCTTAACCGACTGCGCCACCCAGGCGCCCCTCTAAGTTTGTTATTTTAAGAGAGGGGGAGATAGAGGATCCGAAGTAGGCTCTGCACTTATAGCAGAGAGCTCGATGCAGGGCTCAAACTCACAAAGCCTGACATCATGACCTGAGCCGAACTTGGTCACTTACCCCACTGAGCCACCCAGGCACCCTTGTTGAATTTTATGCTGTAAAATCTTGGCATTACTCTTCAGCGTCTGATGTAATCCTAAAATCCAAGAAACTTAGTTCTCTAATTGGATGCTTCATGTACCTAGTAGAGCTACCTACATTTTAGAAATCAGTAGGCTGTTTTAGATCATTCAGTAAATGTTTGGGGTGGATTACAAATACGCCCTTCAGGATTAAGTCATCCAAGTAGTATTTTTTTTATTTTTTAAGTCTTGGTCATATTGAATGATTGTGATTTTTCTATAGAATTCAGGGTAAATACTATAGGCAGTAAGAATTCTCTCAGTCTTGATCATAATTAGAATCAATATAATTTTTAATAGACATTACTTTTGGGGATGCCTGGGTGGCTCAGTCAGTTAAGTGGCCGACTTTGGCTCAGATCATGATCTCGTGGTTCGTGAGTTCGAGCCCCACGTCAGACTCTGTGCTGACAGCTCAGAGCCTGGAGCCTGCTTCAGATTTGTGTCTCCCTCTCCCTCTGCCCCCTCCCCTGCTCACACTCTGTGTGTCTCTCTCTCTCTCAAAAATAAACATTAAAAAAAAAAGATTACTTTTGAAAAAGAAATTGAAATGTTTAATATGTCAGTTTAGAAACTATTTTTATATTTCATCATGCATCTTGAGTTAAAGGGCTTGAGGTTAGTGTTTTAAAGGTTTAAATTTGTTATTTTGATTAAATATATAGCGATACTAACGCTTTAAGACTCCTGTTGTGTGAAGCAAGAGTTTCACTGAGATACTTTGCTCCTACATCTTCTATTCTGTTAAAAGAAAGATCTATTACTTCCAGAGTAGTATTGCTTTTCAGTACGTCAGCCAAACACACCATTCCATCACGAGTTATTTTATTGCTGGGAAAGGAAAAATACGTGTTACATTTGAAAATATGAAGTATTCTTCTTTTATTCATAGAGATTAACAGGCCTCAGAATTGTTATATAGAACAGTACTTTCTCGTTCACTAAAAGATTTTAATCACTCAATTTCCCAAAAAGTTAATGAAAATTTGCTATAAAATGTTACTTTCATTCTGGATTACTCGTGATTAAATTGCTCATTCACGTTGTAGGAGATACAATATCAGTATAAGCTAAATACTAAGACTTAGGATAAAAAGCTGACAACAATGGTTGCATTTTCTGATCTTTGGAATTAGTATCTAACAGCGTGTCCTATGTACTGTAAATGTTTACATAGATTATTCCCAGGACTTCTGGATTAATGTATTATCACTTACCAGCTCACATCAAGGTAGCGTAGGCTTCTGTTCAGATACAGTGCATCGCATAATTGTTTTATTCCACAGTTTTTCATATTATGCTTACACATGTGTAGTGCAACAAGGCAGTGATTTTCTTTCAACATGTGGCCTAGATGAACTGTGGACTCTTCCTAAAAATAGGTAAAATCTTTTTCTAAAATACAATTTTGAAGCTGTACCTGTTTATTCCAAACATATGCTAAGTTATTTAAATTAGCTTTTAAAAAATATCAAGACTATTCTGTAATTTTGTTTTGGCTTGGCTTTTAAGAAAAATCATTTTTGCCACAAATGATACCTTATTTTAAAAATAGACAGTAGGCACTTGCAAGGTACAGTGACTAAGTGATGTAAAAGAGGCTGGTTTTAAAAAGGCATAATCCTAAACAATCATTCCAGGTGGGGGAAAAAAAAAAACTGGTCCCATGACATATTGAGCATATTAAGCCCCCTTATTGTTGTCCTCTCGGTCTCTAAATTTTTCTTACACCCTCCATATGTTCCTGAACTTTTCTCTTGATTCCTACTCTTCATAGTCTTTAGACAAAATACACATTTCCCAATGTTGATTCTTTTAAAAACACTCATTAATCCTGTGATATCTAGTTCTTCCCTTTTATAATCATCCCAAATTTCTAAATATGTTTTACTCTTCTAGTCACTGGAAGACTTAATTTTTAATTCCAAAATCTAGCTGCTTCCAGGCAAAAGGTATATAGCCTCAATGAGGATTTGAATACCAAGCACTTTAAATTTTTAAGAGTCAGAGTCTTGAAATGAATGGGTCAGTATTTTATGGTAAGTCCTCTTGCTTGATTGCTGTATTTATAAGAAGTTTTACAGTCATTGGAAATGCTGAATACAAACATGGATAACTATGCTCAAATTACGTACTTCTACATAATACTCTGAGAAAAACCTACTTTGAGAAAAACTTTAAAAGTTACACGAGACCACGTGGCAATAGCAGATAGTACATGAGTTTTATAATAAAAGTATATGAGCTTTATAATAAAACTGTCCAGGGGTGCCTGGGTGGCTCAGTCGATAAAGTGTCTGACTCTTGATTTCGGCTCAGGTCACGATCTCACAGTTCATGAGTTCAAACCCCACAACGGGCTCTCTGAATACAGTGCAGAGCCCGCTTGGGATCTCTCTCTCCCTCTCTCTCTGCCCCTTCCCTGTTTGCGTGCGCTCTCTTGCTCTCAAAATACCCTTAAATCTGTCCAGATACTTGCATTATACTAGCTGTAGGACTTTGAGCAAATTATTTCATCTAGCTGAGTCTCAGTTTCCTTTCCTGTAGAACAGATAAAATTCTACTTCCCTCAGAGAATTAAATTAACAAAAAAGTACATGGCCCCAAATAAGTGTTCTATAGAACATTGCAAAGCATTTATTATTATTCAGTGTTCTGTAATCCTGTATCTTATTTAAATTATTGATGGGGCGCCTGGGTGGCGCAGTCGGTTAAGCGTCCGACTTCAGCCAGGTCACGATCTCGCGGTCCGTGAGTTCGAGCCCCGCGTCAGGCCCTGGGCTGATGGCTCGGAGCCTGGAGCCTGTTTCCGATTCTGTGTCTCCCTCTCTCTCTGCCCCTCCCCCATTCATGCTCTGTCTCTGTCCCAAAAATAAATAAAAAACGTTGAAAAAAAAAAATTCTGAAATAGATACACCCAAAGGAAGCTATAGTTTCGGATCTTAACAAATGCAAACTGATCACTTATGGGGCCAAATATTGCTCTGCATGGTGCCTGAAACAGAGGACATGATACATATTTGTGTTTTATGCTTTGCATTTTTTTTTAGGTCAAGAAATTCGGTCGAGTGACCACCCTTATTAAGGGACGGAACTAGAATCAGAAATAGTAAAGAGTTTTTAGGTCAATGCGCTGAGTTTGACAATTTGCCTAAGATGATGCCTGGCATCAGTATCTTTCCAAGCTCCCCAGATAAATGGAATTCATTAAATGGAACAGGTTTGCAGGCTTATGTTTGGGAACAGCACAGTATGAGGAAGCACATGAGGATTCTACTCTACGGCCACTGAAGAAACTAGTGCTCACAGGGAGAGAGAGGGTGGTGGCTGCCTTAGGAATAGAAAGCAGGCTAGAGTTTACCTGACTGGCTAAACTCTCAGCACCAGGCTGAGAGCAAGGGCTTGGACCTGAAAAAGGCCTTTGGGCTTTTCATAATTCTCAGATTTGGGAATGACAACACTTGACACAAGAGGAATCGTGCTTCTGATGTGATTTCATATAGTTTAACACACTTATTTCTTTGAGGCTTTAATCCAGAAAATTTTGATTTAGCCTTCATATGTCACATCCTCAATCTGAGAACCTTCTCTGCCACTTCTAAAAGAATGTTAAAGGAATAAGGAGAAGCCTTGACAGCAGGTACCGTGTTTTCCCTCATCTTGTCTCCAGTAGGTAGCTTACCTATAGGATCAAGTCCAGACTTCCCAGGCTGCTATTCACTCACATTCTGCCATTATTACTCATAATTTCAAAAGTGGTTTAGTGATACCAATAGACAACAATTTACACTGAGCTTTTATAATCCAGCCTTTAAAACTTGAATCATTTGGGGGCACCTGGGTGGCTCAGTAGGTTAAGCATCCGGCTTCAGCTTAGGTCATGATCTCACGGTTTGTGGGTGAGATCACACATGGGGCTCTGTGCTGACAGCTCAGAGCCTGGAACCTGCTTTGGATTGTGTGTCTTCCTCTCTCCCTGCCTCTCTCCCACTTGTTCGTTCTCTCTCTCTCTCTCTCTCTCTCTCAAAAATAAACATTAAAAAAATTAAAAAATAAAATAAAACTTTAATCATTTTTGTCTGAACTACTTTGCCTCTCTACAGGTTTACTCACTGTTAATCTGAGTTTCCAAGAAAAAAAAAGACATGTTTACTGCTTAAATAAGCAACATCTAAAATCATGACTCAGTTTTTCTTCAAGTAAGCTTTTGTTTGTAAATGCAGTTAATTCTAAAAATTTAATGCATTCATGAACCTTGACATGACCTTCAATAAATAGTACCTTCGTTTTATTCACATATAATAATATTAGCTGTCATCACTTTGAATACATACCTGTTCACCATACAGTATAGGTCGGTTTAGGTTTATTCCCTTAATTGTTTGGTTTTGAGTTAGGACTGTAGCAAATGCTATCACACTTTGCATTCCCTAAAAACAATAAATTCATTAAGGAAACTGACAACATATTTAACGTCCCTATTTCAAAATCAGTAATCTGGATTCAGTTAAATAAATTTTATTTTGAATTGTAAACCTTGTGTGGTCAAATTCAGAAATGAATGATCACTGTGTTCTTTTCTCCCTGGCCTAAAATCTGTAACATGATGGGGAGTTCTGAAAGTTTCACAGTCCATTTCCTAGGATGTTTACCTCCAGGTTTGCTCCTAAGTCCTCAGGGTACTGTGTGTTGCAGACAGACCTCAGATACATAGATACACACGTGGGTCCCAGCTAGTACTCTGCACTACTGAGAACACTGCAAGTTTTATGCATACTTGAACCCTCTGTGTGAGTTGTGGCAAAGATTTACTAATCCATTTTTCACAGCTTCCACAGGCCTCCCTCTTTACCTTATTGGAAGGGCCTAATTCTTCCCCATTTCTGTGATGGACACCACCGACCACACCGGGTGTTACACCAGAAAACCTGGGCTTCCTTGCACTCTGCCACTCCACTCACCCTCCCATCCAATTAATCAGTAAGTCTTAAGAGATTCTGTCTCCAAAAGATGTCTCAAATTAGCCCATCTGGGTGCCACCACCCCAACCCCAGTCCTTATCGTCACCTGGACTACTGTAGTAACTTCCTAAATGGTCTGTGAGCTTCCTCTGTCACTCTCTAATTCCCCAACAGAGAAACCAGAGATCTTTTTAAAGGACCAATCAGATAACGTCACTTCTCAAAGCCTTTCCATGACACATATTTATAGCAATCCCCTCTTCCCCTGATGTATGACCTGCAACCCATACAACATTGCTGGATCTGGCCTCTGCAAACCTCCACCTTCATTTTGAGATACTCTTAACTCCCTCATCCACTCTGGCTTTTGAGTTCTTAAAACCTGCGGAGTCAGTATTTCATTACTCCTGTACCTCTCATGATTTTTGCTATATTTGGGTGTCAGTTTTATTATTTACTTAATAGTTTTCCATTAAATCAATTCACTTTTTCCATCTTATTTTAAAACTGTCACTACTATAAATGGAAAACCTTAAAATAAGTAAATTCCTCAAAATAAGCATTTGTAAAAATAAATACATTAGTATTAAAATCGCCTCAGTCTGTATTAGTAATGCCACCCATACAACACTTGGGGCAGCACTATCTTAGAGTCTGTATGTGTTGGACCCCTGACTTGAATGTTCTGCCATGGATGCTTTCCAAGGCAGTTTTTCCTCATCCTTCATGACCAGTGTTACCTCCTCAGATATTAGAAACTACCCTATCCTGAAGATTACCTCCTACTTGGCAATCTTTGTAGCACTTTTCTCTTTATTGATGTTTTCCCAACTGGAATATAAGCTTTCTAATGAAGTAGCATTTTTTTTTAATAAGAAACAACAATAACAACAAAACACCACAATCTTTTTTCTCAAAAGATCCCATATAGGTTAAGAAGGGTTATAGATGGAAGCTTAGGAAGAATTTTATTCTAAGTATTCCTCTATAATAAGTACAATCTGATTTTATTAATAGCACTATTATGCCTAATAGTATATAAAAAAAAAAAAAAACTTTTTCTCTGATATTAGGGGAAAGCTTAATCATTCCTAAGATGGTCATTTAGCTGGTCTCTTTAACAATTACCTATCCTGGTTTCCAGGGAGAATGACGCAGTACCTAGGCAATATTTCTTATAACCATTTTACTCACCAGATCACAGTCACCCAGATCTAATTTTTCTAAGGATGAATTAATTTGCAGCATTGCAGCAAAAAACATTCCACCTTTATTTTCAATCTTGTTTCCAGTCATTCTTAGGTATTTCAGAGTTGTATTCTTCTGAAAAGGAAAAGAACCAAAACTTTGTTAAATTTTAGTCCACAGAATTCTTGTTTGATTACGTGAGTTAGGAGACTATATTACTATCTGTAGACTCCTCAGTTTTTCATGAAGACAGAAGAGGATACACTCCTTAAAGGTACCATTCAGCTACTCATAACATAAAAATCTAGCTTAATTTTTTAGTGGAGAGAATGCCCAGGAAACAGATGCCCAAAAATGCCCAGGAAACAGATGCCCAAAAATGCCCAGCAAATGAAGCAGATTTTAATAAATTTTCCTTTCACTGGGAAATCTATAAGTTTGTTTTCTAACAAAATTATGCCACTTTTTTTTGAGGTGAAATTCACATAACCCAAAGTTAACCATTTTAAAGTGTACAATTCACTGGCTTTTAATAAATTCACAGTGTTATACAGCCATCACATAGCTAGTTCCAAAGTATTTTTATTACCTCCTCAAAAGGAGACACTATACCCATTAAGTACTCATTCCAAATTTCCCTGTATCACTTCTAAAGGAATATAATTTCTCAAACATTTGCAAAGTTTAACTCCTCTCATCCCACTCTTTTGATAATTCTTTCACAAATAAAACTACAGACATTTCAATATGCTGATGAGTAAATATCAGAAGACATGTAAGTGCAAATAGTTATCTTTAAAGTTAATCCAAACCCCTTAAGAGCAGGAAGAAGGCAAGGAGGTCTACTGTTAACACTTCTATTTAATATTGTACTGGGGATTCTAGACCAAGCAATTAGGCAAGGAAAAGAAACAAAAAAGGCATCCAGATTGGAAAAGAAGTAAAACCATCTCTGCATATAATGTGATCTTATTTATGGAAAATCCAAAGGAATCCACCAAAAAAGCTGTTAGAACTAGTGAGTTCAGTGAGACTGCAGGGCAAAAGACCAATTTGTGTGTGTGTGTGTGTGTGTGTGTGTGTGTGTGTGTGTATTTTTAATCGTATTTCTACACACTAGCAATGAACAACCCAAAACTGAAATTAAGGTTATCCCATTTACAATAGCATCAAAAAGAATAAAACGTTAGGAATAAATTTAGCAAAAGCAAGACTTGTACGTTAAAAACAAAGCACTGTTGAAGGAAATGAAAAACCTAAATAAATGGAAACCCTTCCCATGTTCGTGGATCAGAAGACTTAATACTGTTAAGATGGCAATACTCCCCAAACTGATCTAAAGACTGAAAGCAATTCCTCTCAAAAATCCTTGTTTTTCTTGCAGAACTTGATAAACTGATCTTAAATTTCGTACGGAAATGCAAGGGACCAGCACATCTTGAAACAGAAAGGACCCATGCTTCTTGACTTCAGAACTGGCTACAAACTACAGTAATCAAGATAGTGTGGGACTGGCATAAGGATCAAAATACAGGTTAATAGAATGAAGAATAGAGAAATAAGCCATTTATAATCGATCGAGAAAATTAATGGGGAAGAACAGTCTTAAATAGTATTGGGACAACTGGATATCCACATGCAGAAGAATGAGGTTAGACTCCCACCTCACATCATATACAAAAATTGACTCAAGATGGATCAAATAACTAAATGAAAGAGCTAAAACAAAACTGTTAGAAGAATACGCAAGTGTAAATCTTCATGACTTCGAGTTAAGCAAAGCCTTCTTAGATATAACAACAAAAGCACAAACAACAAAAGAAAAAATAAATCGAACTTTATCAAAATTAAATAATTTTGTGCTTCAAAGGACAGACACCATTAAGGAAGTGAAAAGGCAACCTAAACTACAGAATGAGAGAAAACATTTGCAACTCATGTATCTGATAAGGGACTTACATCCAGAACATGTAAAGAACTCTCACAGTTTATAAATTTTTTTTTTTTAACGTTTCAGACAGAGAGAGACAGAGCATGAACGGGGGAGGGGCAGAGAGAGAGGGAGACACAGAATCGGAAGCAGGCTCCAGGCTCTGAGCCATCAGCCCAGAGCCCGACGCGGGGCTCGAACTCACGGACCGCGATATCGTGACCTGAGCTGAAGTCGGATGCTCAACCGACTGAGCCACCCAGGCGCCCCAGAACTCTCACAGTTTAAAAAGACAACTAAAAACCATTTAAAAATGGGCACCGAATAGACGTTTCTCCAAAGAATGGCACATGCAAAGATGTTCAACATCATTATTTATGAGGGAAATGCGAATCAAAACCACAAAACCTCTTCATATCCACCAGGATGGCTAAAATCAAGACAGTAACAAGTGCTGGTGAGGATGTAGAGAAATTAAAACACTCCACATTGCTGGTAGAATCATAAAAAGGGACAGCCACTTTGGAAAACAGTTTGGCAGTTTCTCAAGATGTTGAACACCATTACCAAATGATCTAGCAGTTTCACTCCTAGGTATATACCCAAGAAAATGGAAAACCTATGCACACAAAAATGTGCAAATATTCACATTATTATATATAATTCACATTATTATAGACAAAAAGTGGAAACCCAAATGTCCTTTAACTGATAGATGAACAAAATAGGATATATCCAAATCACGGAATATTATTGGGCAATAAGAAGGAATGAAGTATGTTACAATATGGATGAACACTCACTGGGGAGTGAAAGAAACATGGAGAAGGGTTGCTAATGGCTTTGCGGCATCTTTGGGGGATGAAAAGTTCTAAAAATAGGCAGTGATGGTTGCACAATTCTGAATACACAAAGACCCACAGAGCTGAACACCTTAAAGGTAAATTTTTATGGAAAAAAAATTTTTTTTTTTTTTTTTTTTAAATTTTTTTTTTTCAATGTTTTTATTTATTTTTGGGACAGAGAGAGACAGAGCATGAACGGGGGAGGGGCAGAGAGAGAGGGAGACACGGAATCGGAAACAGGCTCCAGGCTCCGAGCCATCAGCCCAGAGCCTGACGCAGGGCTCGAACTCACGGACCGCGAGATCGTGACCTGGCTGAAGTCGGACGCTCAACCGACTGCGCCACCCAGGCGCCCCTGGAAAAAAATTTTTATGTATGTGAATTATACCTCAATAGAGCTGTTTATTTTTAGGGGTACCTGGGTGGCTCAGTCAGTTAAGTGTCTGATTCTTAGTTTTGGCTCAGGTCATGATCTCACGGTTCATGGGTTTGATCCCCACATCGGGCTCTATGCTGGCAATGTGGAGCCTGCTTGGGATTCTCTCTCTTTCCCTTCCTCTTTGTCCCTCCCCTGCTCACTCACTCTCTCAAAATACATAAATAATCATTTTTTTTAACTGAGTTCAAAAGTGCTTGTAATATTACATTTTAATACATCGAAGTGCAATATAAGTACACATTTGCATAATAATGTAAGTTCACAGTGATATTTTATTATGTTGATTACAAGCTATCAGAAGTTAAAATTCCCAAAGAAAATGTTGGTTTAAGGTATATAAATGCTTACATGTAGTGCTTTAGCAATCAATTCTCCACCTTCGGGCCCAATATCATTAAACATAAGATTTAAATAAATGAGTTTATGTTGTTTCTATAATAAGGAGAGAAAAGAAACTATTATTAGGAATGCAATTATTAGGAAACAAATCAATCTAGGAGCTGCTTTATTTAAATAAAAGTATTCACCTCCAAAGAAAATCTTTGCAACATAGAAAATCTGTAAGTCCAGCAAAAGAAACTACCATTAAGGGCCGGGGGAGGGGGTGGAGATTACCATTCTCATTTAAACATAACTGCAATATAAATGAAAGAAAACGACCACATTCTTTTTTGATCAGTGATTCAAAGTATGAATGTGCTTGCAAAGTATGAGTGTACAAGTTTGCAAAAGAGGACTCAGGAGCTCTAGGTACCAGTAGTCTACTGATAAATACACAGGTGGGTTTTCAGTGTATTTCAAGTGTTATAAATATAGTGCAAGGTCAGGACCTGGACATTTTGCAAAACTATCACTTTGTGGGTGTGCCACGAGGCTAGGTGGTTTCACTGTAAACAGAACATTTTGATGACTTTTGCAGCATTTTTGTAATTGTTGAGAATAAATTATTTAGTTTATATTCTTTTTTAATCTTCACTCTGTCCTTACGTTGTGTGCTATCTCATGGATAGGAGAATTTTAAAATCACTTTTAAGCTCATTGGAAACATGTTTAGCAGTTGAGATTGGGACAAGTAAGAACTTTAAAAAAGCAAATTCAAGAGAGGTAGTAAGTGATATATGCTGCCTCAAACATTTTAACTGAGAAAACAGACACATACACATATTTGCCAATCGTCTTGAGGTTGGAACAAGGGCTTTTTCTTAAAGTACACCTATCTGATTGGTGGACCACACGTTTTTTGTTTTGTTTTGTTTTGTTGACCACACTGTATTTCTTAAATAAAATGCAACCATAATGCAGCACTTCAGCCTGGGCAGTTCCAAAGTGAAGTCTGTAATAAAGGGTTAACTTAGCAGGCTTAGGGTACTCAAACTCTGCACATTCCAAAGAAAGGACTGGTTCTTAACTGACTCCTGGGAGAAAACAAAAAGAACTGAGAACATGTTGCAGTAAAATACCTGAAGCAGTCTTGCAGCATAGTATGCACCAACATCACTCATGAGGTTATATCTAACATCCAAACCTGGAGAACACGGATGAATAGAGGCAGATATTCCTTATAATGAATAATTAAAATCAGGAAAATGAAAGCAAGAGGCAACGATTCTTAAGGAAGCATATACCATTAATATATGTATTCTTCTTTAAAATTCTGGAAAGAATCCAAAAATCTTCACCTGTTATTCTTTCTACTGGCATTAAGCGACTGTTACCAGGAATGTTTAATGTGATTCCTTCCAATCTGTTAAAATACAAAAAAGAAACCCAGTAAAGAAATAAAAGCACTTTTTCCCTCGTGTGTAAATAGTAACATCATGAATAGCATTTACTGAAACCAAGTGTGTGTCACAATATAGATTTATAGCAAGTAACTTAAGAGGGCTGAATATTCTACAGATTTTACAGACACTTTTATATTATAGAATTTTTCTCACACACACACAAAACAATGTATCTCCACTTGACAGATAATGACATCAAAGACTTAAACGATTTTCATAAATAAATCCAGCCCACAGGAGTTCAGCACAAATCTGGAGCCGAGAGCCACTGGTCTCGTGTTCGTCCCCATATACTCCACTGCCTCTGGGACTAACGCTGTCCATCATTTACCTCTCTAAATCAAAAAGTACGTCCATTTTAAAAAGGATTTGCAAGGGGCTTTAAACAAATCACTCAGTATTCCAGGATTTTCACACAGATGATTATCAGTGAATATTACTTATGTAATCAAGTATTTGTCTTCCTTACCCCTTTTCAATTTCTTCATCCACTTCCTGGAGTAGATGCCATACAAAGGAATTAATTTTCCTGGACTTTTCCATACATAGATTATAATAATCTTCCTGGAGACTGCCAATAATTTCTGGAACTTTTGAAAAAGTAGTGCATTACTCTTCATAATGTGAATTATACCGGGACCTTTCCCCTTCCCTCTATACCTTCCCCCTGCCCCCCCCAAAAAAAAAAAAATTACACTTCTTCCAAAGATACGAATGTGTATGTGAATAGAGTCAGGGGTAAGGAAGAAAAGGAGATGGGATTAAGAGCAAGAGGGGGAAAATAGAAGGAATCGAGGCGAGTGAAAATGCCGTTCGAACTAGAGCCATAGAAGCCCCCACTGAGGGTAGGCAGACACTAACTGGGAAGCAACACAAAGGGAGAACTACAGGCCTGGTAGCTGAGGAAAAGGATATTCATAAAAATTAAATATTTTGTCCAAAACCATACAGCTAATGAGGGCAGAGTATAAAAACTGACTCCAAAGCCTCTTTCCACTCTGCCACCTTAGGTTAGGATGACTCACACTTTCTTATCATGACTTCAGATAAAGACAATTCTATCAGAGAATCTAAACTTTAAAAAGATCTGAAAAATCACCACGTCCCATAGGCTTCTTGGATACCCTCTATACCATGCAGGTTGATGCATCTTTGAATATAGCTGTCAGTTCCTCCTTACACTAAGTGGAGGCCTGGCTCATAGCAGCTCTTCACCTACCCTAGCCTTCCATGTCCTCTATTTTTTTTTTTTTTTAAGTTTATTTTGAGAGAGAAGGAACCAGTGGGGAGGGGCAGAAGCGTGGGGACAGAGGATCCAAAGCAGGCTCTGTGCTGACAGCAGCGAGCCTGATGTGGGACTTGAACCCACAAACTGTGGGATCATGACCTCAGCCCAATTTGGACACTTGAGCCACCCAGACACCCCCTTTTCCTCTTTCTAAAGATTGATTTTGCTCTGTTCAGCCCTTAAAGAAGACTGAAACAAAGCAGGAGTTGAATTCTCTCCTTTGTTACACCTGCTGCTTTCCTTAAAGGTCTTAGTTTTTCATATTAATTTAAAAGGATCTTTTGCCAGACCCACGCCTTCCAGGGTGGAAGCTATGCTGTCACTCTCCTTAGAAGCACATGCCACTATCTTTGTTTTCTGTCCTATCTTTTGTGTAAGTCTCTTGGAAAAAAAAAATCTGTGCTCAGAGATCTCACGACTCAACCAACCTAGTGTCTTCAGAGCCAGCCTCTTTGAGTCTCTGCATCTCAACAGATGTTCTTTGCTGAGATTTCTGCTGAGTAGATTTCTACATTATATGAACCCAAGAGTTTACTAAACAAATTTGCAAAACAAGATTTAAGATGAGGAACGTTGTATTAAAAAGGAAAGCAGTAAACTTTTCTTAACAGTTTTTAAGAATAAGCTTTAAAGGGTCACTTGGGTGGCCCAGTCGGTTGAGCGTCCGACTTCGGCTCAGGTCACGATCTCATGGTCTGTGAGTTCGAGCCCTGCGTCAGGCTCTGTGCTGACAGCTCAGAGCCTGGAGCCTGCTTCGGATTCTGTGCCCTCTCTCTCTGCTCCTCCCCCGTTCATGCTCTGTCTCGGTCTCAAAAATAAATAAAAACATTAAAAAAAAAAAAAAAGAATAAGCTTTAAAGGGGCACTTGGGTGGCTCAGTCGGTTGAACGTGCGACCCCAGCTTGGGTCACAATCTCATGGTTTGTGAGTTCGAGTCCCGTGTTGGGCTCTGTGCTGACAGCTCGGTATTGTCTCCCTCTCTCTGTGCCCCTAACCCACTCACATTCTGTCTCTGTCTCTCCCAAAAATAAATAAACATTAAAAAAAATTTAAATAATAAGTTTTAACAAAAATTAACCTACTTATTCCAGACAACTTAGAAATTTCAGTATAAAAAAAAATAAACATTTATTAGCAATCCCACTGCCAAAGAACCATTATAACAGGCCTGTGGGTATTTCCTCCCAAATGTTTTTCTCACATATGTACTTATTAGCATTTTTAAACAAAATTAGAATATTTCAGTACAGTTCCAGATCTTTTAACATTATGTTGTGAGTTTTCCCATGTCATTCTCTGAAATTTTTTTATGTCAACAGAATTTCCTCTCTTGTGTGTGGATGTACCTAAGAAATCCTTCACTTATTTTAGGAAGTTTTCATGTATTTAAACAACATTTTAGCACATTATCTCCCAAATTGTGCTCTTTAGAATACTAATCTATGAAATGATCAAAGATACTCTGGGGCACCTGGGTGGTGCAGTCAGTTGGGCATCTGACTTTGGCTTAGGTCATGATCTCATGGTTCTTGAGTTCAAGGCCCGCATCAGGCTCACTGCTGTCAGTGCAGAGCCCGCTTGGATCCTCTATCCCCCTCTCCCTGTACCCCTACCCCGCACGCTCTCTTTCAAAAATAAACATTTTTAAAAAAAGATGTTCTAAGTAGAATAGATTTTATTGTCAGATAAGCTTGGGAAGCGCTGTAGTAAACAAAGCTAAACAGACCCCTATCTGTATAACACTTCTCTGGACGTTAAAAACACTCAAGAGCGTAAAGAGTCTTTAAATTATTGAGCCTGGAGAGAAGGGAGAATAAAAATACTCCATCTCCCAGACTTATGTGACCAGGGTTCACATGGAATTCAATCTACAAAATGCTACTTTGGCATTCTCGACAGGAAACATAGCAAACAGATCTCAAACACATTTACTTGTTGGAGCTGCACTCCCACTGGGCTTGTTTCCTCCCTTCTACTACCTCCCTTGTTTTGTTTTTTAAATTTTAACAATTATTTTTGAGAGAGACAGACGGACAGACAACGCGAACGGGGGGAGGGACAGACAGAGAGGGAGACACAGAATCTGAAGCAGGCTCCAGGCTCCGAGCTGTCTGCCCAGAGCCTGACACGGGGCTCGAACTCACAAACCATGAGATCATGACCTGAGCTGAAGTCGGACCCTCGACCAACTGAGCCACCCAGGAGCCCCATCCTTGGTGTTAAAAACAGAAGACTACCGTGAGAATCTCTGAGGCTCAGTGCCTGCCTTCAGCTGGCCACAGCACACCCAGGACATGCAGGAGAAATGCGTCAGGCTTAGAAATCCTGTTTCTTTAAAAGAAGGAGGGAATCTTAAACTATACACTAAATATAGCTAAAGAAAGTTATACGAAAAATTCTTATTACCCGACTGTGGATTTAAAGTGTTTAAAAGTTTCTGGTATATTTTTCTGTTATGCTCTCTTTCATTTAAAATTCACCTAAGTACTGTATGTCAGGATTTTATGGCATCAGTAATTTATTTCCTGTATTCATATTCACAGAAAATAATAAGTCAGAGTTCTAATTGTAAAGCTAAGACTAGGAATACCAGTTACACAAGAAAATGTCAAAGTCTAACCCAAATGTCATTTTTAATCCATGCCAAAGTCTTATATTCCAAATATTTTCCACCTAGGAGCACTTTTTAAAAATTCTATATTAAAAAAAAAAAGTGGGCAGGGGCTCAGTTTGGAGGTGGTCCCCTATGCCCTCCTACACTGGCACCACCCAAGTACTGGGGAAATCCAAGGGTTGGGAGTGAGTCAGAGTAAGTGCCTATCCAGGATCAGCTGTGTGACTTTGAACAAGTACAAGTTATTTAAATTCTCCCATCTTAAACTTCCTCTTATGCTAGAGGCAGAGCTAGATGCCCATCTCACAGATGCAGTAAGGAATAGGTAAAGCTTCTAGCACAGTTCCACATCTACAAGCACACAACCCTTTAAAACAAGCATCCAGGGGCCCCTGAGTGGTCTGACTTAGCTCAGGTTATAACCTCACTACTCATGAGTTCAAGCCCCACATGACCTCTGTGCTGACAGGTCAGAGCCTGGAGCCTGCTTTAGGATTCTGTCTCCCTCTCTCTCTGCCCCTCGCCTGCTCGTTCTCATTCACTCTCTCAAAATTAACATTTAAAAATATATTTAAAAAGACAAACAGGGGCGCCTGGGTGGCGCAGTCGGTTAAGCGTCCGACTTCAGCCAGGTCACGATCTCGCGCTCCGTGAGTTCGAGCCCCGCGTCAGGCTCTGGGCTGATGGCTCAGAACCTGGAGCCTGTTTCCGATTCTGTGTCTCCCTCTCTCTCTGCCCCTCCCCCGTTCATGCTCTGTCTCTCTCTGTCCCAAAAATAATAAACGTTAAAAAAAAAAAAAAATTTAAAAAGACAAACAAAAACAAGCATCCAAAATGGAAACAGTGAGGAATACCTGGGTGGCTGAGTCAGTTAAGCAACCCATTCTTGATTTCTGCTCAGATCATGAGCTCATGGTTCTTGGGTTTGAGCCCTGCAATAGGGGTCCTACTGAGCCTGTTTGGGATTCTCTCTCTCTTTCTCTCTCTCCCCCTTTCTCCCTCTCTGCCCCTCCCCTGCTACGTGCCCTCCCTCAAAAATTAATCTAAAAAAAATGTACAGGATGGCAGGAGGAGGGGTGTGCAGACCATACTCGAGACCCTCTTGCCCACCTAGGCCCCGCTTTCTGGAGCTTGCACACAAAAAAGGGCCCAAGAGGAACACCTACACACCCTTCCCTGAGACGGGAGAGCAAATCAATAGACACACCTCCCCCAGGACAACCTATCAAGTGAAGGGCAGACCCTCGGGGAGGAAGGGGGCGGATCGTGGGGCTCCCCTCCCACCCATATGTGGGGGCCCCCCGAAGTTCTGGCCACAGCTGGGGTTCCCAGGGGTACCCTCCTGCCAAGCCGCCTCAGGCCGGCAGCCTGCTCGGAGGAAAGGGCTGGTGCGAGCAAGCCCGCGGCTGGGGTAGCGCCCCTCACCCGCTCCACCTGGCCAGGCAGGCGCCGAAGGACACCCTATTTCTTACCGCTCCTGTCGGCCGGGGCCCAGGACGTAGTAGGGATTGTAGTGGGAGCGGGAGGGGGAGACGGGGACTTGGCCCGGGCCGCCACCTTCCCACCGCCCCGCATCTCCCTTTCCGCCCCCAGAGCTGTGGTGGAGTTGTCATGACGACCGCGCGCATGCGCCTGCCCAGTCCCGGGCCTCCTGCCAGCTGCACCAGGGCTCGGGTGACCGCCGGACCCTGAACGCCACCTGCAGCCCGCTGCGCATCCATTACCCACTTGGGCCCTTAAGGCCTGTCTGGGCAGGCGGTGACCACCAATGCTATGGAGGCTCCTCGGTCACCCCCGCCTGGCTTCGGGTCACCTTGACCTGGGTTAAAAACCACAGACGGAGGGTGCCCCGGTTCCTTTGCAGGGAGAAGTTCTTGAGGTTTAGCGGGCACGGCTGATAGGCTGGGGGCCAGGGCTACAATGACGATTGTGACACAGTCCCCTCCCCAAAGCGTGCACATACCTGCGGGGGGGCCAAGTACAGAAGAACGTGGTAGCACCAGGACAGATAAGGTCCGGAGCTAAGGAAGCTGAAAGGGGTATGTAGATCAGTCTTGTGTTGGGGCGGGGGTATCAGGGAGGGCTTTTTGTCGGAGGTGACTCTCTGACCGGCCCCAGCGAATCCGTCCCAGGTGCTGGAGACACACAGGTACTTGGGGCTGCCTAGATGAGTATGGGGGGGG